GGAGACGCACGCGCCCGTATGGAAAAAACCTCCCCCCCCCCAAAAAAAAAAGGTATTAAAAAAAAATCTCTCCAAAAAAAGAAAAGAAAAAAAAAGAAAGAAAGACAGACAGAAAGTGAGGAAGCAAGCTGCCAGGTCTGGGACTCAGACTGTGGTCGGCCATGTGGGAGTCCAGCACTTTAAGCACCATGCCGTCTGTAGACCCCTAGCAAATTAATAACAATAATAGTAATAAGTAAAGTAAAATGAGTAATCTTTTTAAAAGATAAATTGCCCTTGGAGGGACTAGCAGGGCGTGTAATGGTTAAGGTGCTGGACTCCCACATGGCCAACTGCGGTTTGAATCCTGGGCCTGACAGCCTGAGACTCACAGCAGGTGTGTGTGCATGCATGTCCAAAATCCAGGAAGGAGAATGGAGGAAATTGCCGTGTGGCTGTTCCCCCTAGGGTCAGGACATGCTCAGCGTGTTTTTCAAGCTACCAAGCCCAGGACTCAAACTGCACAGTTGGCCCTATGGGATCCAGCACCTTAACCACACCACCTGCTGGCCCACTTCTTTAAAAGAGGAAAAGGAACGTGAGTGCTACTTTTACTGTCAGCCCACAGGCCCACCCCCAGCCAGCTAAGGTGTGCCAACTCCCCCGGACATGCCTCCTGGCCCCGCCTGCCACTCGCAGTGCCCCAGCCCAGTCTGGAACAGGTGCCAGCTGGGCTCCCACCCCTGGTCTGACCATCTCCAGGCGTGTGGCCACACTGACGTGTCCTTTCATGTCCTGCCGCTGCTGCAGGTCAACAAGCACGCCTTCTCGGGAGGCAGAGACACCATGGAGGAGCACAGGCAGTTTGGTGGTGACTGCGACCTGGACGTATCATTCATGTACCTGACCTTCTTCCTGGAGGATGATGACAGGCTGGAGCAGATCAGGAAGGTGAGCACGAGCCCCGTGCCCGGTGGGAGCCTCTGGTGCCTGGGTGGTGTCCAGCTCCCAGGAGCAGGCGTGCAGCGGACATGCCGAAACTGCAGGCTGCTCACATCGTACCCTGCTCCAGGGAGCGTCACGGACAAAGCTCCCAAGAAGCCCGGGTCGCTAGTGACTTGGGAATCACACAGACTTCCTCTTATGCTGTCCTGGGAAGTATCAGCCCTGACGTCAGAGCTGCAGCCGCTCCCCGGGCACGAGCAGCGTCTGTGTTGCAGTCAGCTGTGTGCAGGGGCGGGGATTGCTGCCCACAGCCTAGAGCAGCTGGTGAGAGCCCCAGGACACTCAGCCTTTGCCGCAGGTTTCCCAGTGCTAGGAATCTTTTCAGGGAAAGGATCCTGAGTAAGAAAAGGCTTGGCTCCCAGAGATGTTGGAAGTCTTAAAGGCGGAGGGGTCTTAGCATAGTCGTCCCACAGGGCGGCACTGAGCGGGAGCTGGCGGGGGTGGGCGATTGTGTGCTGTGACCTGCTTAAGGCTTTTACCGACACAGGGAAACACGACTGCGAGAGGGCAAAGGGGTACCAGACTGGCAGTGTGGAGGGAGGAGGCACCGTTACACAAGCTGTGCCGGCTGTGACTGGCATCACGGGGCCCCCCTTCCCTGCTGCCGCCTGCAGCCTGGGCATTTCCTGACATTTGTTTGAGGAGCCTCCATTACTCGCGTGTGAGAAAATGAAAGACACCAGCCAAGGTTCTGTGGAAGCCAGCTGGCCGGACAGGTGGGGTGCCTGGGTGTCGGCACCGCGTGTGTGGGTGGGCGGCGTGGTTTTAGGCTACTGCTGCCTTGTCTGCTGCTCAGCTCCGCAGCCTGGCTGGGGCGGCCCAGCTGTGGGCGAGTGCGCGAGACTTGCAGGGCCGCCCTCACAGCTGCCGCCTCCTCCGGCAGGATTACAGCAGCGGAGCTATGCTCACCGGGGAGCTCAAGAAGGAGCTCATAGAAGTCCTGCAGCCCCTGATCGCCGAGCACCAGGCCCGGCGCAAGGAGGTCACCGACGAGGTCGTGAAGGAGTTCATGACCCCCCGGAAGCTGTCCTTCGACTTCCAGTGACGCCCATCTTGGTAGGAGGAGAGGTGTCTGTCCGTGCCCCCAGTTCAGCCGAGTGCCACTCCCGGGCTGCCGTCCAGAAGCCCGTGTCCGTGAGCGACACCGTTTCTCCCTGTCTTTCAGTTCTCTCTCGGGGGGTGAGAAGCACTGCGTGGAGACCGGGTTCTGACTGGCAGCGTGTGTGGATGGAGAATCCCGCTGCAGGTCTCTTGCAGAACAGCCCGGGTATGCGGAGTCTGGCAGGAAGTCCGTGGGCTGTCCAGCCTGGTCCACCGAGGACTGTCCATCTGAAAGCAGCCGAGGGTCCCAGAGAGACTCACAACCTGCCCTGTAAAATATGTGCCCCGTGTCTGCGTGTGGAGCAGCAGCCTCGTGTATATATGTCGGGAAATGAAAGCGTGCTTCGGGAGGCTGGTGTGGGCCGTGTAACTGGCACAAGATGTATTTCAGCCTATGCCAAAACAGAAAATGACAGCTAGAAGCTGCCGTACAATGACCAAGAAACCACCCTGCTTTAAAACTGCTTTTAACGCGGACCAGCAGAGTGGGCAGTTTTATTATAGTGAGCCTCTTGTGGGCGAAACTTCCGTTACTCTCTGACCTGCAGACCCGCATGCATCCTACTCCAGAAATCCTGCTCTGCAGAAGC